GTTTAGGGTTTACAGTTTAGGCTTTAGGGCTTGTAGGGGTTTAGGGTTTAGGGCTTAGGCTGTAGGGTCTCGCATTAGGGTTTAGGGTTTAGGAACGGAAGTACGGGAGCTAGATTCGCAACTCGCGAACGATTAGCCGAATCTTGCACTCGAGCCCACGGTAGCAAGCGAGTCCCGGGTCTGCTAACAAGCAAGTGCTTTTTCAGAGACTCCAAGACCCCTTAATTAAGGAATATACCTTAAATCATACTAGGGATCCCTATTATGATTTAAAGTATATTCCTTAATTAAGGAATATACCTTAAATCATAATAGGGATTCCTAATATGATTTAAGGTATATTCCTTAATTAAGGAATATACCTTAAATCATAATAGGGATTCCTAATATGATCTAAGGTATATTCCTTAATTAAAGGGTTTGGGAGTCTCTGGGTCTACTGTCCTATGCTGCAAATCATGTGGCAAATGTGGAGGTCGACACGGTAGGAGTTTCCGAAAATAACGGGTGCCTTATTTGGGGGTCCTTATAAGAAGGATCCTACTATTTAGGGTAGTATATTGGGTCCCCTATTTTCGGCAACCCCCATGTAGATTTCACCGAGGTGTTTTAACCAGCAAGGAACGGTACAGTTAGCCTAAATGCCACACCTAAGCCCTGAGCCCTGAAAGCTAAGCCCGTGCTACCAGAGGTTTTGGGGTGGCTCGGAGCTCCATCCCGTCGGGTTTAGGGTTCAGGTAGGGTTTAGGGTTTAGGGTGTAGGGCGTAGGGTTTTGGGTTCAGGTAGGGTTTAGGGTGTAGGTTTTAGGGTCAGGTAGGGTCTAGGGTTTAGGGTGTAGGGTTTAAGGTTCAGGTAGGGTTATTGCTCAGGATGCCTTACGTGGGAAGGCATCGGGCAACTCAAGCTCATGGCGAGCCAAGCGCTTTTCGAGACAGGCCAACAGCAAGGATGACCAGCACCCCAAATTCATGGAGGGAATGGGAAGATAGTACGTACATGTTTACGATAGTGTACCCAAAATCCCGATGTTCTGAAGTATGAAAAACCCTCGTACTCTTACTTGCCCCATGGCAAGACGAAGGGTAGTCGTGAGCGGCTTTAATACAGGCATAGGATAAACGCATCAAGCGTAAGCCCGACAGCCCTAAACACTAAAACCACCATTCCGAGATGCTCTGCTGGGCTGGCGACCACACATCCTGTTGGCTCAGACAGATCCGGGTGTGATGTATCAAGGGGCTGCAAGCCAGAAGTGTGATTAGAAGGCTTCTATACTGCAAGAGCTCTATCATGGCTAAACCCTAACCCTGAACCCTAAATCGAGGGTTGTATGAGGGTTTCACCAGCGATGGTATTTCCTGCACCTTCTGCCTGCCTTTCTGCTGGGCCTTCATACCTTCTTGATCATTAGAATAGGGTTCGGGGGGAATATTATACTATATAACTATGATAAAGAACCCGCAAAATACTATAGGCACTTCTCTAAGCCCCTATAGTACTCTCAGACAAACCCTTAGGCTCGTTTCCCATCTGGTCTTCGTGATGCTCAGGCGTCGGGTTCTGGTCTGGGAGGGCTTCCCCGCATGGGTGCCTCTGACGGACGTAATTTTGGATTTTTGATATGGGGGTTTCTGAAAATAGGGGACCCTAATGTAGTACCCTAAATAATAGGACCCTTATTATAAGGACCCCCAAATAAGGTACCGCAATTTTCGGAAACTCCCATATGTGCGTCTTGGCTAGGGAGGCTGGCCAGTCCTTCCAAACTTGTCATCCTGAGAAACAGAATGTAGGAGGCGTTAGTAATTAGAATACGGTTTTCGGGGGCTCCATAAGATAGTTCTAGTTCAATAGACCTATTCTAATTATTATTAAGTCCCCTATACTAAACTCTTATAGAACCCTGAACCCTAAACCCTAAACCCTTAACCCTAAACCCTAAACCCTAAACCCTTAACCCTAAACCCTTAATTGAAGGCCTCTTAAAAATACTCAACCGACCAACGGCCTGAGCCTGGCTCCTCGAACTGAGGCTTTGCTAGGGTTTAGGGTTTAGGGTTTAGGGTTTAGGGTATAGGGTTTAGGGTTTAGGGTTTAGGGTTTACGGTTTAGGGCTTTAGGGCTTTAGGGGGCATATAGGAAGTAGGCGGGGCATAGAGGGAGCAGGCTTGATTCGGGCTTTTGGTGAGCGTATAAGCTACGGCCCCAAGCCCCAACCTAAGACAAAATGATTAAGACACCCCAGCATCCAAAAAACAGAAACAAAAACGTTGTCCTAACCCTAAACCCTAAACTCCAAAAACGGAAACTAAAACACTAGAAAGTGAATCCTGAACGTCGCCCCGAAAGCTCCTGGTGCCCGCGGCAAGGCAGTGAGTTCGCCCTCCAGGCCCATCTCTCGCACCAGGCTGTCACAGGCGGAGTAGAGGCGACCTCGGCCACGAAACAAACTTCCGCCAGCTCTCGCGCCTGGGTTTAGACCTAATGAATTAGGGGGTTTAGGGATGTATGGCTTGAGTGTTCTTTAGGGGATTTATGGTTTAAGTGTTCTTTGGGGGATTTATGGTTTAAGTGTCCTTTAGGGTCTAGGGTTCAGAGTTTGTGGATTAGGGGATTAGGGGGTTTAGGGATTTATGGCTTAAGTGTTCCTTAAGGGTTTAGGGATTAGAGTTTATGGATTAGGGATTAGGGGGTTTAGGGATTTATGGTTTAAGTGCTTTTTTAGGATTTAGGGTTTAGAGTTTATGGATTAGGGGATTAGGGGGCTTAGGGATTTACCGTTTAAGTGTTCTTGTAGGGTTCCGGGTTTAGTTGTTTAGAAAGTCTTCTTGAAGCTCCATGTGTTCAAAAGTCCTCGGCCAAAGGGTCGCTCCTCGGATCCCTCTTACTTAGGGTGTAGAGTTTAGGGTGTAGGGCTTAGGGTTTAGGGACTAGGGTGATTAGGGTATAGGATTGAGGGATGACAGTTAAGGGTTTGGGTCCTATTCAAAGCTCCACTTTGGGCTCGAAGGGAGCTGCCTCCCAAGCTCGGAGCTTTGCGCGCTTCTGGGGAAAAGCAGAATTTTGGCTCCTTGTCATGAATATACTCTAGCCTCAACCCTAAACCCTAAACGGTTTAGGGATCCGAAAGCCTGAATCCTAAGACTTGAAGACCCCAGAGCAAAACCCGAAAGTCGCGCAAGCCCAAAATCCCAAGCCAAAGCATCTTCATAGCTGCCTTCATGGCTAGAATGAATAGGGTGGTTGGGGTTCATTCTGGCATGGCGACATTAGGGACCACGAAGGTGATATCATCGCTACCGCTACATATCTATGTATAATAATAATCATTTAGATACATATATATATATATATGCTCATATATATATATATATGTATATATATATATACACATATATCTATATATGTATATATGTATATATTCGATGTACACGCTAGATTCGGCACCACGCCGTGCTTTCGGCGTGAGCCCTGGAATGCAGGCGTGCTCTCTGTGGAGCGGCCAAAGCGCATGCAGCTCAAGAAAAGAGTTGGCTGAGGTTTGGGGCTGCAATTTTCATCGCAGCCCATTGTACATGTTTAAGAGCCTCATATTTCCCCAGGAACTCTGCTAACACGTATGGGGTCCCTGTGTTCTTTGTAAAGAGAATTTCTTGCGGCCTCGGGGCGTGCCTCGCAAAGGAGCTCTGTGAGTCCTACTATTTACACAGACCTAGAACCTGGACGACGCAAAACAGGCACCAAACTGCCCATGATAATACCCACAACACTCACCAATAATCCCAACGAGTATTCCTACGGAGCTTGAGATACGCTCCTGAAAACCTGTGAATGTCAACCCTGCTTCATGTCGGCTGAAGAACCTTAAACCCATGACCCTGAACCTTAAACAATAGTAGTGGCAGCTTTTCAGGCAAGGTGCAAGTGGTTGCAGACCTCAGGGGGTTTGAAGAATGAGTGACAAAAACCGTAACATTCCTGTATGGTCTCCAGGTATACTCGCGCTATCATATATGACACAATGACAAACTCTCGACGAAGAATGCCATACTACGAAGGGTGCCTTGGGTAATTGACCTCGGTCGTAAGCTGAAGCGGGATTAATATAGGGGCCTTAATAACTAGAATAGGGTTTTGGGGTCCTTTGTAGTAGAATTAGAAGGAACCCCCAAAATAATCTAGGTAATTATTTGGGCTTCTATATTAATGGACGTGCCCGTAAGACCCTTAAGCGGCCAGCCAGCCGCGTCAGAATGCGAGCGGCACCCCTAGCACCCAGGCATCGTGGGATGTGGCACGAACGCAGGCGGCAATACATGGGTGGTTGAAAATTATGGTCCCTTTTGGGGTACCCTAAATAATAGGTGCCGTATTATAATAAGGACCCAAAAAGGGACCCTAATTTTGACAACCACCCATGTTTCCAAAAATAGGGGACCCCAAGATAGTACCCTAAACAATAGGATCCTTATTATAAGGACCCCAAAATAAGGTACCCCGAATTTTCGGAAACTCCCACGTAGAATGGCGTTGTGTCGGCGGTACTGTGTGATTATCGACCTTAGGCCCGAAACCTCAAACCGTAAAACCGAAACCCTAAACCCT